AGCTGGGTGCTGGCAGGCTTGCACCTGGCACGGGCACCGTAGCCAGCCCGTGCCCCTTTAAGGGGTCCGGGGCCGGGAGGGGGGCATAGAGTTTCCCTGGTGTTGGCCAGAGTGGCCACCAGGGAAACCTGGGAAGCCTTAGCCTCCCACTAGTTCGAACTAAAGGGCTACACAGCCCTTAGTTCGAACTAGCTAGTTCGAACTAGGCGTTAGTCCTCGTAAAATGAGGTTTACCTAGTTCGAACTAAGCGCTCCGTTAGTTCGATTCAAATTCGAACTAGCGGAGCGCTAGTGTAGCACCTATTAAAGTTAGTTCGAACTAACGTCCGTTAGTTCGAACTAACTTTGTAGTGTAGACATACCCATATATAGGTAGGTTTTGCCAGAAAAGAATACAATATTTTAACATGTGCAGGAGACAAAATACAATTCAAACTTACTTCCACCCTCATGCATAAGCATTGTCAAACATCCAGTTTTAAATTATATCCCTACATAGTATTTCTCAAATACAATATAAAATTGGGAACTCTTTTCTATGACTGCATCTGCCCTGGAGTTGGTGCTTTGGTCTGGTGCCCATATAATGGTGAATGTTAAGTGTGAGGTCAGACTTTAAAAACGTCTCAAAAGATGTTAAGTCCTAATAGCCAGTAACACTGTAGGACACACATGGCTTCTTCTTATGTATTTGTATAGTGCCCAGGACATTGAAGCCCGGATCCTGATTAGAGCATCAGAGTTCAGAGTGTACTGTAACACAAATAGCCCCACTCCCACCCTAGTTGGTAGTATGCTGTGCATTAAATCTTCATGTACCCTTGTCATAGCATACTCTTTTATTGGACACCAAGAATTTTCACAACTCTGACTTTTCTGATAATACGTGGCTCCCCAATGGGGGAAGAGTACAACAACCCAAAGAGGCAATGCTTTTACAGACAGGCTCTCTCTTGATGTTTTGCTGCTGCAGGAGAAACATGATAGCATCTGCTCCATTGTCTGCTTCTGAAAGGATTCTTCCCTAATGAGACTTTTGCTGCATGGAGTATGTAGGCCCTTGTCTTGGATCAAGAGCACAGTGTCAGCAAATAGCTACTTCACCATCTTTTCTTTCTAGGCATCACTGGAGGAGAGGACATGCCTCCAAGAAATTGTTTCCTCTTATGGATCTAGATCTGCTCCATCTGTGCCTTACTTACAAAAACAGCATCACCTGAGTAGGAGGGATTCAGAGTGGAGCTACAATGGCTGCTGAATTTGAGACCAGGGGTGTGAAGGGAGTGCTTTCGCTTTCCCAAGGAAGAGTGGGAGAGGGACTTGCACTTGTATCTGGAATCAAGGCAGCACATCTTTATAATAATTGAGGTGGCCTTAGTGTCAACTGGCTGGAGTTTTAATGCCTCTTTCATTAACGCTTCCAGGAGTTTGAACCACTGCTTCTAGTTAAGATGGGACGGAGGAGGAGAGACAATTTAAACTGAGTACCCTATAGGACAGCACCATTCTTCCATGCAAAGCAACATCTGGTGTGGGGGGCCATCATGGATATTTTACTATCGTGTAATACACTGTTCAAATCCAGATGTTTTATCAAGGTGTCCAGGAGATCGAGGGGCCTCAGTCTAGGCAATGAGGGCAAACGAAAAATGGCTTTGGATACACATAGAAGTGCAGAGTTAAAATATAACAGGCTTGACTCCTAAAGAGACTTTAGCCAAGGGAAGGTGATATCCATAGGAGCTGCGGATGTTCAACACTGCTAAAATTAGGGCACTTATTTCTGTGCTTAAATATTGATTTAGGAACCTAAATCTTGAGACTTTAGTCCTAATTTTGTCCTTTATTTTTATATATTTGTCATTATAAAACTACAGCTGGCCAAGAAACAAACTAGCTAGCAAAATGGTAAGAGAGTCAGAAAATCAAATGTTTCTTTGTTGTCAATTGCTTTCTAACCTCAGAGATAAAAACTGAGAAAGAGACCTTCAGCAGTTTGTAGCTCCTAAATCAGCCCATCAGTGCATAGTGTCATTTCACATATCCTAGGAGAACAACTGTCATATTCCTCCTCCCATGCTTCCTTTGTCTATCTGATTATAGCCAGTCTTGGAAGAGGGCCAGTACCTGCTCTTACTTTGGCCAGCCTCAGCTGAAGTCATATTCATGCATTAATCACTTATGTAGTTTGTGCTGTTGGGAATGCAGGAATTACCACTACGGATAAAACCAGAAAATCCAGTGTCCAAGTCTCTGACAGTTGCCATCATCAGAAGCCTAAAGGTAAGGTTCAATAAACCTCCTCATGGACAGTCCACAGCCATTTTCATAAACTCTGTCATTTAATGGCTGGGGTATATTTGTAAGGGTAAAGGTTTAAGTCCTTTAGTAAGTATCTATACAAATCTGTGTGTTCTCAGTATCCATATATGTCTTCCCTTTTTTAGAATCTTGCTGTGCTTTTAATTTCTAGGGTATGATTCCGACAGTGCATCCTGCAGGCTGATTTCTTAGATTTCTGTTTGTTGCCTTTCAAATTTCATTGACTGTCCTCTTGCTCTTGTGTCATGTGACTAGATTACAAGGAATGGCCATGATACCCTCTCTTCACAATACCTTTTTTTATATACCTCTATCACTTACCAGTCTCACTATACTAAACAGAACTAACAATATGGGCACTCCCCAAGTTACAAACATCCAACTTTCGAACAGCTGCACATACAAACAAAAGCTCACCTGCAGCCTCAGGCAGGGATGTCCTTAGGATTTATGAGGTCCTAGGCAGCATTATTAAACTGGTGCCTGTATGCTTAATGGCAGCTCGGGGGGGAGAGGGGATGACAGTTTTTTAGGGATGTGATTTTATAATCTTCAGCAGCACACTAAGGGAAGGTTACTCCCTTGGTGCAGTAATTGGAGTTCTTCGAGATGGTTGTCCCTGTGGGTGCTCTGCCTTAGGTGTCTGAGTGCCACTGCGCTTCTAATTGGAGATTTTAGGCAGCAGTGCCCTCAGTTGGCTGTGCACGGCAGCATGTGACCTTTGAAACGGCTTTTCTGCATGCCACTGTCCCTTCAGCTCCTTCTCTGACCCAGACATAGATGACTCCGAAGTAGAGGGGAGGATGGGGGGTTGGTGGAGCATCCACAGGGACAAGCGTCCTGAAGAACTCCAGTTACTTCACTAGGTGAGTAACCTTCCCTTCTTCTCCGAGGTGTGTCCCTGTGGGTGCTTTCCAGCAGCCACCTGTTGGTGGTGATGGAACACCACACTGGATAGAATGCAGCCAGTCTGCTGCCAAATACTATGGAGAATCTGAATTGCTGCCATGGAAAAACTGGAGCTGTCACACCCTCGACTAGTACTTCAAACCACCTGGTGTGAAGTGAATAGCTGTAGGGCTGTTGTCTGGTGAGGCACTGCCTGTGACTACTTTGACGTAGTCAACACTTGTTATCATATTGCCTGGGATGTTGGTTGAACCGTGTTGGCCTGTGTAAATGACCTTCTTTGTTTTCTTTTTGACACAGGTACATGGATGCCAAGCATCTTGAGTGTGGCTTGTGAATCTTTCAATGTGTGAAGTGAGGCGTTAGTTGATACAGCAAAGAGTTTCGTACCCCGAGCAGTGGTGTGCTCCTCACCTAGGCAGCAGACACACTGTGAGTGCCTGGCTGAGATAGGAATGGACAGCCCGCAGGTTATACACCTTTTAAACATAGGTGAGCCAGGCATGTCCAAGCAGAAAAAATTCTAACAGTTGCAGAAAAAATAGCTCTGTAGAACAACACTTTCTAGGCTAACTATATTAAAAACAGAGGAAAAAAAACCCTTTTTTTTAAACACACTACGAATAAAAAGAGTAAAACCAGTACACTAATGATTAAATATGAAGAAAAACTGCTACAGTAAAACTCCATTGGTCCGGCATCTGATGGTCCGGCACTCCTGATGGTCCGGAACCATCAGGAACCCGGAAGTGCTCTGGGCAGCCGGACCACTGGAGCTGCTCTGCCCCTGGCTTCCCCGATTCAGCTGCTGCTGAAACTGACCAGCGGCTGCCTCCGGGAAGCCCGGGGCAGAACAGCTCTCCAGCAGCACTCCAGCTGCTCTGCCCCTGGCTTCCCCGATTCAGCTGCTGCTGAAACTGACCAGCGGCTGCCTCCGGGAAGCCCGGGGCAGAACAGCTCTCCAGCAGCACTCCAGCTGCTCTGCCCCTGGCTTCCCCGATTCAGCTGCTGCTGAAACTGACCAGCGGCTGCCTCCGGGAAGCCCGGGGCAGAACAGCTCTCCAGCAGCACTCCAGCTGCTCTGCCCCTGGCTTCCCCGATTCAGCTGCTGCTGAAACTGCCCAGCAGCGGCTGAATCGGGGACGCCTGGGGCAGAGCCGGACTATCGGAAGGGGGGGCTATGAGGGGGCGGGGGGGGATCCCCCCACACCACCCTAGACCCCTTATAGCCCCCCTTCCGATAGTCCGGCATATCTGATAATCCGGCACCCTATGGGTCCTAAAGATGCCGGATTATCGGAAGTTTACTGTACTAACAACTATCTAATGCTAATTCTAGCTAACAGATAAGGGCTACTGCTGAGCTGCGACCGAAGCCAGTGATGGTAGAGAAGGAATTGAAAGGATGGTTGGCTATGCATGTGGATTAGCTATTTCAAACGTTGTGTGCCAGCCGTTCGGCGTGCGCAGCCACCCATGGGCACGGCTACCTAAAATCTCCGATTAAAAGTGCAGAGGCGCTCAGACACCCAAGATGGATTACCCACAGGGACACTCCTCAAAGAATAAAATAGTTTTAAAGCAAATTTTAAATTAAGGCCGTGTAGACTAAGGTCACGCCTAGACTTCTGGGAAGATCGACACTACAATGGTCGATCTTACAGCATTTGATTTAACAGGTCTAGTTAAATCGAATGCTGAGGGTGGCCTCATCAGTACCAGTACTCCTTGCTGTTGACCTCCCAATGGGGGAAAGGTGCCAAAATTCGGCTTCAGGTACATCGACTTCAGCTACATTATTCACGTAGCTGGATTTGCATACCTTAAGACGACCATACCGTGTAATATAGACTTGGGCTCAGGCCACGTCTATACTAACAGGAAGATCAACTCTGTGGCGGTTGATCTTCTGGCGATTGATTTAGTGGGTCTAGTAAAGATCTGCTAAATCGAATGCTGAGGGAATCCCTGGAGGGCCAGAATACTCCTCGCTGTCGTGAGGAATAAGGGAAGTCAATGGGAGCATTTCTCCTGTTTTGCAACAGCACCAAAGTTCATAGAATCATAGAACCATAGAGCTGGAAGAGATCTCAGAAGGTCATCAAGTCCAGCCCCCTGCTCTAGACAGGACCAATCGCAACTAAATCAACTCAGACAGATCTTTGTCAAGCCGAGACTTAAGGTATGTTGACTCCAGCTATGTTATTTACATAGCTGGAATTGTGTATCTTAAACAGACCTTGCCCTGTAGTATAGACCTGGCCTAACACAGTAAATTCAGAAACTGACAGTATATGCCTGGGATTTGCAAATGCCTATTAAATGGCTTATTTGCCACTTGAATGACTTTTTCACAGGTTGAGTTTTCTGCTAATAGGTCTGACAGGCTTTTTCACTTTTACATTAACTAGATGCTCTCTTGAGGAAGCAGAGCCACTGAACAGGGATAGGAAGAGGTGAATGCACATTAAGACCCAATGGTGCCCCAAATTTTCAGATGTCCTACCAGCTGTATATTCTGCATCTGCGTAAAGATGGCCCTAGCCTCAGAGGAGCAGGCAAGAGACGCATATCATGGTGAGTAGCAAAACTGCTGGCTAGAGAACTCTGGCTCTGTGGAACAGTGCACTGGCTCTAGGACCCAGGCCTACAATTTTGCACCATTTCTAAGGTATGATCCTTTAATATTGAGGGGACTAAGTTAAGGGAATATGCAACTGAGATTATGTAACTTCTGGTTGCCAGAGGTGTTTGCTATAAATAGAGACAGCCTACACTTATGAAGCAAAACTGCTGGCTAGAGAACTCTGGCTCTGTGGAACAGTGCACTGGCTCTAGGACCCAGGCCTACAATTTTGCACCATTTCTAAGGTATGATCCTTTAATATTGAGGGGACTAAGTTAAGGGAATATGCAACTGAGATTATGTAACTTCTGGTTGCCAGAGGTGTTTGCTATAAATAGAGACAGCCTACACTTATGA